CCAACCTCGACAAGCGTCGTCACCTGCTCCTGATGCATCAGTAGGAGGCTGATCATCCTCCTTCAGCCAGACCTTGATTAAAATTGCATCTGTCTTGGCTTGACTTGCAACCCTCTGCTTCGTCATGAACTGACAGACCGTTTTCGCACCGAGGCAGAAATCTGAAGTGTAAGTGAGGCTGTGAAGCGCGTAGTCGCTGGTGTCTGACCCCCCTGCCGTGCAGCTTTGGCTTCTTTTGGGTCTCAGTGTCTGTCTGTGTCCATAGACCCAGCTGGCAGGTGTTTGCTGATTTCCAGCGGCCTTGGATTGGCTTCTGCTGCCCGGCACAGTCCCTTCAGCAGTCCTGCAGAGGAGACTCCGACCCGTTCTGCCTTTTTAAAAATTAGTCGCGTCCGTGTGGAATTCGGCTTGGACGCCGACCAAAACCGAGAGACTTTGCTGATGCTAATTATTTTGTGCTTGGGGATGGAAGAGAGAGATTAAAGTAATTGTCTGTAATTAAGAGGGAAAGTCGACCACAGGCAGGCGCTGCATGCAGATGGGTTAAGGAATCCGCCAGCGTGACACTAGGGGGACGGATCCATGGCCGGGGTGAAGGGGGGTCAGTGAAGGGGGGTCAGGCGCCCCCATGCTGGCACAGCTGCGTATCAGGTGAACCTCTTCATGGAAATTACGCTTGTTGGTGTGCATCAGAATTTTATGGGCCCTCCTGATTTCTATTGAAGGATCGTTGGGGGAGGGTAACTTCGGTTTGGGGGGGTTGATCAGGCTGTTGGCTGTGGATGGTTGTATCTGTAAATAAGTATTTACTGCTGTGTTGTTTAATGGAAGGTAAGCGCATGTTTGTGGGCAAAGCCGTGCGTCACCCTGGTTGGCTTGTACAGTGGAGGCAGGTGTCTGTCTGTTTAGGTTGTGGTCTTGCGGGGCGTCTGCTTGTTTCCCGTGGTGGTCTGCTGTTGGAGCTTGTTGTGCCTCAGCAGGGGAGGTGGCCGTCGGTGGTGGGACGGATGCTCATACTTCAGCTGTCTGGCTCAGAGCGAGAGCGTTTGAAAGCCTCTTCTGTCGATGGGCTGCTCCTCCCGAATCGCAGGAAAAAGGGGGAGATTGACAATGATCTATAGCCGTCTTTGCCCTGTCACTTGGTCGCTGGCAGCCCCTTGAGGATTCCGTGATCCTCCAGTGTAACGGAGAAGCCATCTCTGTTGTACCTTTTTGTTTATGTGTTTGTCCCCTGACGGGATGCCGTTCCTTTAAAACAGAGATATCCACTGATATATGACGTGAGTGTGTGTGTGTATGCTACAGTATTTCATGTTGTAAACCCTTTTTCGCTGAGTGGGACGCCCCCTCTTCCGGGACCGGCACCCCCTCCAGCGGCATGTTTGTGTGCGTTGTTGGTGCTGCGAGCCCCGCAGTGCCAGGGGCACCGTCTGCCGTCAAGGTTGCAGTGCGGAACTCGATCGCGGCTCTGGGGAGCTTCTCCCGCAGTGGGGCTCGCATGCCGGCCCAGAAGCAGTCTGGGATTGATTTGGAGTCTGCGCTCTCCTCTCCTCTCTTGGCAGCCTCCCTGCAATGGGATCCAAATACGTGTTAAAGACCACAAAGGTTAGTGGTAACACTGAACTAGGAAGCTGAATTGTGATGTTTTTTTCGCGCCCCCCCCCCGGAATACATCTGTCAGACTGGGCTTTAGGTTAACGACAGGAAATGAAGATTCGGACGGTGAGGGAGCGGCAGTGGCATCTATGCAAGTGCCTTTTTCAAGGAATGTTACCATTTGTCATTAGTAAATTACTCCAAGCTTGTGTTCCAAGCGCTGATTAAAATGAATCCGAAGTTCATTTTAATGAGGACATTTTTACGGTTATTGGCCATGAATATTCTGCAAACTGTTTTTTTAAAGCTTGCGTTTTGCCCAGAGCACAGGCCAGTTTCAGAGCTGGAGCATAAAGTAATTGAGTTATTTTATGCAAACCGCTCATGTAAAAGAGTTTTAAGTTCAAATGTGACCCAGTGATTTAAGCCTCTCTGTAATCGTGCAACGATTCGTCTGTCTAGACTGAATTCCTTGGGTTTAAAGTCCGTTACCTGCATTCGCTTTGCACTGCAGATGTGCTGTGAGCGCTGCCTGAACCTTCTGCTGGCGGCTGGCCCAAGCTTGGGGTAACCGGCGATTATTTACGCTAAATCTGGACTAGGGACCTTCTCTGCCTCATCCTTGCGGGGAGCACTTCCTGTGAGGAAGGAGGGGAGTGTCGATTGGTCGCGCTCATTACGTGGAACCCTCTCATTTTCAGCCATCATAGAGCACAGATAAGTCATGTCCAGTGATTCCAGATAAATCTGTAAACCCTCTCTGTTCTGTCTAATGACTTATGTCATTTACTTTCTTTGGTAGAAACAGCCTTTCCTCAATACGGTCAAATCAAAGTGACGACTCTTGTGACATGGCGAGGATGAAACGGTTCAGTTGTTAAACTCCGCCAGGATAATGAAGAGAACTGCCTCTTGTGCTGATAGCTGTTTCTGGAAGTTCCTTGAAGTGCACATGTGGCAACTTAGTCAAGTGGAGTGACAATATCTGCAGCCCATCAGAGGTGGGTACGGCACTGGGAACCGGCGCCCAGTAGGGGGTTGGATATAGATACGCCCCAAGAACCATGCAGGATGCCAGTGACTTCTTCAATCCCGTAATCTAAGAATCTCGCTACCGGTGGAGCGCAGATGTCATTAATGTGAAAAGTACTGCATGATTTATTTCCCCTTTTAAATTGAATTCCAAAATTGAATTTGCTAGCGGTTCTGCCAGAGCCGCGCCGACCTCAAGCCGGAACCTGTTCAGGTGGTCTAGATCGGCTGCGCCGGCAACATGGGAACCTGTTCATGTTTTGCATTTCTGCGTCTAGCTCCTGTCTAATCCAATCCGGCTGCCCAGGTCAGCGCAGCTCGTCTCTGTCTCCTCCATCGCATGCAGGCTGAAGTTCATGGCTGCGGGGAGGAAAGGAGGCTTTGTTTTCAGGCGATTTCGGACTCAGGTTCCCAAACAAATACGTATGACCCTTGATGCAATCTCAAGGATGGGGGGGGTGAAGTGGTCTTAAACCAGCCTTGCTGGGGTCATATTCTGTTCAACAGTGGGCAAGAGTCTCCCTTGGGACAGAATGGGGGGGGGGGCTCCATGAGAGGTGACTGACCCCTCCCCCTGTACACTGCCCTCTATGCTATAGATGTCGCACATGAGTACGTTCTGGCCTGGCGCGCTGTGCCAGTCTGCGGCCACTGGCTGCCTGCCTCTTACCAGCCCCAGATTTTCAGGCACCCCCTCCCTGTTCACCCAGATCCCTGGCCCCACCCTCACTTTTCCCATTTAGGTCTCCAAGCCCCTGGGCCACTCAGTCGGCCACGCTGAAACTTCCTTTCAGACAGTGATGCAATCGTGACCTTTACTTCGGCGACTGGGGGAAGTGGCACACCATGCTTCCCAGTGCCCAACGGGCACGAATGGAAGAGTCATTTCTGTCAGTCAGGACCTGGTGAAGTAAAATAAATATTTTCAGAAATGAGGTTATTTCCAAGCGGGATGTTTTTTTTAAGAATAGTCAGCATGACGAGCGACGGCGAGGCGAACCTCCTCGCTGGCATCACGGTGACGTTCGGAGGCTCCGACCAGCGCGAGACGGACGCGGCCTGCTGGGCTGTGGCTCACAGGTCTGCTTCTCCTGAGAGCAAAAGGGAGGTTAATGGTGTGGGGCATGAGGGGATAATTAGGGGTGAACTGTTTGTATAAGCTCACAGCCATGGGTCCATGTGCACACTGACG